GAATGCCTATAATAATGCAAAATCGAGTAAAATGGACTAGACATCCTATACCAAAATGTCACCAAAATACATGTTATCAAACTCCCCCAGACTTAAACCTTTGCTCGTCCTCGAGCAAATTAATACTCCGTGAAAAGCGGTCTGAAAGGAGGGCGAGACAATGACATAACTCAAAATGATAATCGAGAGTGAAACCTCTATTCGACCTAGATCCACGTGAACAATGATCAAGTTTGTCTAGTATGATCTCCCTCTCTAAAGGATAGTCTTTTCTAGTTATGGGATCTATACCGCTATCAAGAACCAATCCAAGAACTTCAATCATCTATCAAGCATGTTTCTCGAACCTATCACGTCATTCTACCTAATCGTATCTAGTCTACGCTTTTGGTATTCATTCTTTTTGTTCTTCTCTTTTTTTTTTCTTTCATCTAGCTAGATTTTTTTTTTCTTTTACTAGCATCTCGGGTTCCTAGGACGTTGAAGTTGAAGGGTTCCTAATCAATTTTTTTTTCCGATTTTGTTTATTGGATAACCCGACCCACAACTTAGACCCGAACCATCAAATTGATGCACTCATGTCTTCGAACGATTTTCGTTGACGAGATAATGACAGCGAAGTGTCGAGATGCTCACTATCTTTTTGTGTACATAAAAAAATAAGAATGCATTTGATAATAGACTTTACCGATTTCAGCAAACATGGGAAAGGTTCTTATAGAAAAGTTTCTACTTGGCTAGACAACATCGGTCCCATAGGTTCCAACCAACAATTTCTATCCCACAAGCCATTCTAGAAAATCCTAAAGGTCAAGCAATCAATTCAACAAAATATAACCACGTTCAACGGATCACAATGTTTTCAGGACGTTTCTACTCTCTCATATCATAGGTCATCATATCAATGTTCAAAACGGTTTTATGCACGTGATCTTATATGTCCTAAACACTATATGAGAATACACAATCCTAACAACAAACTTTATGATCCTAATGCATCCTATATGCACATGCAACTAAAAAATGAAAAAAAAATCAAAAAATGCATGCAACACTACTCTAAATAGATATGGTTTGGCATTAGACGAATCCTCCCCCAAACTTGAACTAGACACTGTACTCGGTGTCAAATCTTGTCTAGTAGAGGTAATTAATAAGATGAGTCAAAAGAGAAGCAAATCAAAAAGGGAAAAGAATACTTAGCTCGCGATGTTCGTTCACTCGCACTTAAGTCTGCCTACGCCTATCGCATAGCTAGCTTCCTCGCCTCCTCAATTCCTCATTAGAACTCAACCTGGTGATAAGAGACACAAACCAATATTCGATGCAAAAAGAAAAAGAAAGGAAAAAAAACTAACCTAAGAAATCGGGTTGCCTCCCGGGAGCGCTTGTTTAGGGTCTTTAGCTTGACCAAACTCTCTCAACTACCGGATGGGTCTAATGGGCGAAGATTATCGATCTTTTGCCAACCTGGATCATGAAGTTTAAGAGCATCTCTACAACAAAATGAGTTTGAGAAACGAGGGGTACCTAGTAGAGAAAAATCTGGTGGTGATGCATGAGATTCGAGCCAGTTCTCACGATGGTCTGATGAGTTAGTGACCTGCTCAACCATGTTAGCTTCTTTCTTACCTTTTGTCCTATCTGGATCTGGTCTTCTCTTAACCTTGTGTATGTGGTCCTGGTTCTTAGGCGTTTTGAGCTTGTAAACTGAACAAATAGATTTCACACTTTCGTCTGGATTGTCATTTTGATTGAGCATGAATTCTATTGTCTCGTCTCCAATGGACATAGTAAGATGACCCGCTTTGACGTGGATGACGACATCTGCTGTGTTGAGAAAGGGACGCCCTAGAATAATAGACATGCTTGAATCTGCATCCATGTCAAGAACCACAAAATCAACAGGTATGTAATAATCACCCACCTTAAGTGGCATATCCTCTAGTATACCTGCAGGTCGTTTGGTCGACCTATCTGCCCACTGTAATATCATTTGTGTGGGTTTGAGTTCACCCACACCTAGTCTCTTGAAGATCGACAATGGCATTAGGCTTACGCTTGCTCCTAGATCATATAACGCTTGTTCAATAAAGAGATTGCCCAATTTGCAAGGAATGGAGAAACTACCTGGGTCTGCCATCTTACGGGGCAAATCGTGCTGAAAAATGGCACTGCACTCTTTGGTTAATGCTACTGTCTCCTTCTCCATTGTCTTCTTCCTAGCCAGAATATCCTTGAAAAATTTGGCATAAGAGGGCATTTGAGTGATTACCTCATGAAAAGGTATTGTGACCTCCAATTCTTTATCATGTCCGTGAAGCGCTTAAACTGGCTGGCCTCTTTTTGTTGCACAAGTCGTGAAGGGAATGGAACTGGAGGAGGTCTGGGAGGTGGAGGTACATACTTTGGTTCTTCCTCACATGTCATCTTAACTGGAGTATCTGCAGACTGAATGTTAGAGGTGATCGTTGATATGTGTGTATCGAGTCTAGAATTTATAACCCGATTCACAACTCACCGCAAGGATACGGATCGTCGTAACACGGGATCGAACGCAAGGACCGGTAGCTAAATCTAAATCCTAATCGAAACTAAATCAAATCAAGCAAGTGAGGGTGATGGTGAAAATATGTGGAATCAATGGAAAATAAAATAAGAAAGCAAATAAAAACGAATGTAACTATCAAGCAACGATGACTACGGGCGTCGGGATCGTATCCGCGTGTATGGGTATATGCTAAGCATGCGAGAATCACGATTATGATTTGTATTCGGGAATCGTCAAGCAACAAAGATAGAGAATTCACCTCTTGGTCTACTAACTCACTACCTACAGAGTAACTCGTCAATCTCGATCTATTCAAGTTAACCCTAGATGCATGAAGAACGCTATCATCAACCCTAGATCGATTAAATCGTATCTCTGTGTGAAAAATACGATCATCCTATTGATTTTGATCCGAAACCAAACCCATATCTCTATGTAGTTTAGAATTTAAGATAATTGACTAAAGCATTAGCAAACATCAATCGAATAAAAGTGCAAATCAATAGAACCGAAATAAATAAAAACCGAAATTCGGTTCTTCGGAACCGGACCGAACCGAACCATTAAAACGATATTTTTTCGATCCGAAACCGCTGTTATTTGCCGAACGGTACCATTTTTAGAGAACCGAATTTTTCCGGAACCGAACCGAACCGAACCGAACTTTAAAAATCCCAAAAATTAAACCGAATATTTTTAAAGGAAATCTATCATTTTTTTAATAAAATCCAGAACAGAACCTAACAGATACCGAAACCGAATCGAACCGAATACAATAAAAAATCCGATTGGTACCTATTTTTGTAAAACCGAAAGAACCAAACCGATTTATTCCGTCCCGAACCTGAACTGTTTCTCGAAATGCTCACCCCTAATTTCTATATATAAAACAAATACTTGGACCCACAAAAAATGATATTATATATTATTTTTTGATAAATTGAATGATATTATATTATGTAATCGCAAACCGATTTTCTCTTCAAATTTAAAAAGATTAATAAAAAAAAAAACCTCAAATTTGTTAAAATATTCCATATAAAATCCTAAACTTGTAATCTTCCATAAAAAATCCTGAATTTGGTAAAAATTTCTACAAAAATTATAAATTTACTATTTTTTCTATATAAAACTTTTGATTTGTTTGACCAAAAAATTTGCTGATGTGCCACGACGGATTGCTGACATGGCGTAGATTGAGTTACCACGTCAGTGCCACATCATCATTTTAAAAATTAAAATATTTGATAAAAATATATATGTACAAATTTATATATATATATATATAAATTTATACATTTGATTAAAATATATTTATATATATGTATATTTATATATTTGTATATTTAAAATTTTAAATTATGCAAATATATATATATATATATATATATATAGATATAGATATTTCATAAATATATATATATATATGTATGTATGTATATGATATATCTTTCAACTCTTCACGTAAAATATGACATTACCAAAGTCCCATAATCAATGCGCATGCTGAATAATAACAACTAAAGATGAAATATAAGTGAAAGGAAAAAAGAATATATATGAAAATACACCAAAAATTGGATGAATTGTTAAAAGATGAAATAAATATTTCATACATTGAATTATATTTTCATTGACTATCTTACCCTTTTTGCCTATTTTTTTTAAAAAAATTCTTATTGGTGACACTGATTTTTATATTTCCTTTTTTTAAACCATGCCATGAAATTTAATATTTTGTTGGAAAAAATTAATAAATAAAAAGGCAAAGCATTAAATACCACATTACAATCAAAGACAAAATTGTCAATCAACATCAAAGATGCATCTCATGTAGTTACCACAAAATGCAAAAGCTTCTAAAACTCAAAACGAATCAAGTCCTCATGGCATTGGCAAGCGAATTTTAAAATAAATTCATTTTCTATTTGTATTTTGATGTGAAATCGATTTTTTTACTTTGTCGTTATGAATTGGGGCCACTTTCAAGCTTCATTATTTTAAAGTGATAAAATAATATTACCTAACAAACATTTAGAGAAAAAAAATTATGTGCTTCATCTCTTCACATGAAAAAAAAAAGAATTTATTGTATAGTAAAACAGTGATATTCTATGATTTGGATTGAAACAAATCTAAATAGATATCACCTCCGGAAGTTTAGACTTTATCATATTCACGTAGAAGTTCTTTTTACCAATAATCCAAATCTTTTTATTTTCTGATAAGAGGAAATCTACATCTTCCTATTAGTTTTGGATTAAATTTTGAATTTCGTGGGTTGTTGTTATTATTATTATTATTATTAAATTGAAAGATTCACATAATTTTTCTCCGTGGAATAAAACAAAAGGAAAATATATGAAATGACAAACAGAGAAATATTTGGAAAATATGAAAGCAACAAAAGCAAGGGCTTTGTTTGGTTGGTGCCATTTAGTTCGTTTAGTTCTCCACTGCAATATATAAAGCCTCCTCTTTTTCTCCTCCACGAGCTCGCCATCTCCCTCTCTCTCTCTGCGGAATCTCTTCCTCTGGTTTGTGTTCGAATACGTACAGAAAAGATATGGCAGAGGAGAAGAAAGCTAAACCCAGCGGTGTCTGGACTACTGTCAAGCCCTTTGTTAATGGCGGTGCCTCCGGTATGCTCGCCACCTGCGTCATCCAACCGATCGATATGATCAAGGTATCTGTATTGCTCATATACGTGTATGCGTCTGTGTATGTGCGTAAGCACTTGTGCGCGCGCGTGTAGAATTGTTTATTGATGTGTCGATGTTGGTATGAACTCGTTGCCAGAGATTAGGGATTTGAGATTTGTGTTCCGAGATCTGGGTTTCAGTAAAATTCTGTTTCTAGCGGATTTCTGTAAAAAAGTTTTGTAATTTTCTACTATATCCATGATTTGTTCACGGGTGTGTAATTGTAGTCGTGATTATTACTTTTGATTTATTTGTAATGTTAGAAATTTAGCGTTTAGGTCGAAGCATTTTCCTCAGATCTGGTTTTTGGTAAATTTCACGTGTATGCACATGTTAATGTACAATTCTGTGCCATTGCATTGATCCATCGTGCATATATGGACGTGTAAGTGATGTTATTGATTTGGATTTCGAGCTTGGCGGGTTCGTTTGCATTGAACATGCGTTCTTGACTTGCTTGTGAAGGTGAGGATTCAACTTGGCCAGGGATCTGCAGCTTCTGTGACCAAGACCATGTTGAAGAATGAGGGTTTTGGTGCCTTCTACAAGGTTGGGATTTAAGGTTCTTTTTTTGGGATTTATTTATTCTCCTTGATAAGCTTTTATGTGATGGATTTCCTTATCTTAGAGATGCAAGTGACAATGGATCCCTTTCTTGGTTGGGTAGTTTTTGTTGAGAATAGTTTGTTACATTTTCATGTGTGTGGTCTATGTTTTGGTTAGGATAGGATATGGGTGTTTTTTGTTCAGGGAATTAATTCACATATTGATATTCTACTGACTTTTATATCGGTTTGACTCGTATATATTCCTATGTCTTATGAAGATGTTGTACATACATGTTTATTCATTGTTAAATTTGTCAATAGGGCTTGTCTGCTGGTTTGCTCAGGCAAGCAACTTACACCACTGCTCGTCTTGGATCCTTCAAGTAAGTCACCATTGGAGGGATAGCTTATGCCCATATTAAGTCTTGAATTCCTTTTTTGTTTCCCTTTTATGTAGCGGGAAATTCTTCTCTCTTGTTCTTCGTATTTATAGACGAAGTACTGTTATGATTTAGGATTTTGACGGCAAAAGCAAGTGAGGCTAACGAAGGGAAGCCTCTGCCTCTATATCAGAAGGCTTTGTGTGGTCTGACAGCTGGTGCCATTGGTGCTTGTGTCGGTAGTCCAGCAGATTTAGCTCTTATAAGAATGCAAGCTGATGCAACCTTGCCCTTAGCTCAGCGTAGGAATTACACAAACGCCTTCCATGCGCTTTATCGTATAGTTGCCGATGAAGGAGTTTTGGCACTTTGGAAAGGTTGTGGGCCTACTATGGTCAGGGCCATGGCTTTGAACATGGGAATGCTCGCTTCTTATGACCAGAGTGCTGAGTACTTCAGAGATTCCCTCGGTTTCGGGGAAACATCTACTGTTATAGGTAAACTTTAGTCCCGAAGTTTTGTTACATTCATCTTTTTTTCTTTTCGCTATTGTTGGATATTATTGCTCAGATGAAGATGCTTTCTGCAAACAGAAACTGTGCCCTAAACATATACATATGTAGAGAGCTTTTGGTTTAGGGTTGAATCGATATGTTGTTGTGTTGTCTCTTTTATGGTTCTCTTGTGGATAACATCTCAGTCTGTGGAATTTAACACAGAGGTTTAGTGGTGGATGACATGAGAAAGCATTTGTAGTCTAGTGCCCCAAAGCCATCATTTCTGGAATCTGCTATTTATCTTTCTTTTTTACTGTTTGGTGAGAAGCATGGTCAATAGTAGTTTTCTGTGAATGTTCTGCATATCCATTATATAGGACTATGTATGCTTTTATCATCTCAGCTCTCAAACGTATTCTTTCTCCAAATCTGTAAGACGAATTCATTCAGATAATACAATTTTCCATTCCGTTTTCTGCGGTTTCCATGTACAATGGGGATAGATACACATCTATCTATATGCATGACCCAACTTTGCTGGTTTTCTGAGTCTGTTTTTGGTTTTTTTCGGGGGGGGGGGGGGT